AGATGAAACCCAAGATTAAGGCCTTGAAAAGCTCCAGCATTTACGCTGGGTGTAGCCAAGAGAGGCCTCAAGTAAGTCAGGAAGTACTGAAGCTGTAAAACAAAACACAGACACAATTGACTCGATAGAAATGTAAAACTTGCAGGGGCCAGCAGGTGGCGTGGTGGTTAAGGCGCTGGACACTCCTACATGGCCGACCATGGTTTGAGTCCCGGACCTCTGGCTTGCTTTCTCTCTCTCTCTCTGTCTCTCTAATCAAATTAAAATAAATGAATGAATGAATAAAATTAAATAAATGAAAGAAAGAATAAAATTAAATAAATAATTCTTAAAAAAAAAAAAGTCAAATTTTCATGGTAATGGGGCCGGCAGGTGATGTGGTGCTTAAAGGCACTGGGTTCCCAACATGGCTGACTGCAGTTTGAGTCCCAGACCTGCTGGCTGGCTTTCTCGCTTTCTCCTTCTCTTTCTTTCTCTCTCTCTGTCTCTATCTGGTCAAATTTTAAAAAAATAACAAATGGAATTAAATAAACAAATCATTCTGTTTTAAAAATAGCATGGTAAAAGATACCATGAACGGGGCCAACATCCTGATGATAGACTTAGGTAAACTATTTATAATGTAAATGTCAAAGGTTTTACATGCATGTGGTTACTTCATAAAGTTCATGGAAAACTGGCATTCAAGTATGAGTTTCTTTTGGTGCAAAAAAGTTTTGAAATCTATGCAAATGGAGTGTGGTCACACCACCCTCCGTCTCTTCCATCTCTCTCCCGTCTGGATTTGGGGCATGCACACACATACCCAATGTGTTTTTCAAGCTGCCTGGGCTGGGATTCAAACCTCAGTTGGCTCAGATTCTTAACTTTTAAACTACTCCCTGCTAATGTCACTGTTGCTCTCTATTTTAAGTAGCAGGGCCCCAGAGAAACTCTTGAGCTTATACTTAAGGGACGTACTCAAGAATGCTCAGTAGAGCTCTGACAGCATTAACAGTAATCTGAAAACTACTTAAGAGTACGGATGGGTATATTTGTGTGGCTGAATGCAAGAGTTAAGGAACTGGAGTTACTCTATCCAGCCTTGATAAATCACCAAAATATTTTTTTTTCTTTTTTTGGAGAGGTTTTTGCTATAGGGTACGTGCACTCGCCAGACAGAGAGAGACAGAGAGACAGAAAGCGAGAAATCACCCCCCATGGGGGATGGCCACACTGCAATCCCTTCTCCTCCATTCTCCTCTCAGGATCTTGGGCACGCACGCACACGCACCCAGTGTGAGTTTAAGCCGCCGGGTCCGGGACTCGAACCGTGGTCAACTACGTGGGAGTCCAGTGACATAGCCATTACACTAACTGCTGGTACCAACCCCCAAAATATTGTTGAGCTGGGGAAGAAAACGTGTTTCAAGAACTGTACACAGAATATTAGTAACATATTGATTTTAAAATAATTCTGTCTTCTGTTTGGTACAATGTTTTATACCATGTCCAAAAGTGAAGCGTTTATCTTGAGGCATTTTGTTTTAACGCAGGTATCCGAGGTCAGCACCGTGATGTTCAGCATGTGGGGTACATTAGCAAACACGGGGGACAGCGAGTGCAATCTTGGTGGAGACCAAAGCTGGGGAATGTCTTGCCTTTGACTTGGTAAATCCATGGTTTTGTTTTTTAATTCAAAGCAACAGACTGATTATTTGGGAAGAATATGACCTCAGTCTGAAGGTTGTATGAGCACAGCAGGTTAAGTCCTTAATTTCCCCATCTTAAAAAAAGGGCTGGGACCAGCAGTTAGTGTAATGGCTATGTCGCTGGACTCCCATGTAGTCGACTGCCATTCGAGTCCTGGACCCAGTGGCTTAAACTCACGCTGGGCGCGTGTGCGTGCGTGCCCAAGATCCCGAGAGGAGAATGGAGAAGGGATTGTGGCGTGGCCATTCCCTCTGTGGGGGTGATTTCTCGCTTTCTGTCTCTCTGTCTCTCTCTGTCTCTCTGGCGAGTGCACACGCCCTATAGCAAAAAGCTCTCCCAAAAAAAAGAAAGAAAATGTGGCTAGTGTGATTGTGGAACTGTTTGTAATTGTACTGATTTTTAATTAAACTAACTATGAGACTAATGGTGAGCGTATTGGATAGAGCAAGGTTTGAAAAGGGGAGTTGTCCCTCCAGAGGATCAGCCTGTGAAATGCCCAGATACCAGGCTCTGCCGCCAAGCCATGTCCTGCCTCGGAAGCCCTCTGCACCAAGACACCAGCCCTGGGCGTGCCGCGGCCGCTGGTGCCCTGAGCGCCTCCTGGGACGGTGTTTCCGCCTTTCAAACACTGGCCGGAGACTGGGAGAAACAAGTTCGCGCCTTTTCCTTGTTTTCATTTGTGTTTTTTGTCTTCACCTTATTAATTAAACAAAGTAATTGAACCTTGAACACCATGGTATGAACTGCATGGGTCCATTTATATGTGGATTTTTTTTTAATAAATGGCATTTTCTCTTAGGATTTTCTTAGTATTTATTTTCTCTACCTTTATTGTGTGTGTGTGTGTGTGTGTGTGTGTATTTCATATATGGTACATATGATGTCAAACCCTGAGAAGTAAAAACTACAAGTTTCGGGAACCAGCAGTTAGCGTAATGGCTATGTCGCTGGACTCCCACGTAGTCGACCGCAGTTCGTGTCCTGGACCTGGTGGCTTAAAACTCACGCCGGGCGCGTGTGCGTGCGTGCCCAAGATCCTGAGAGGAGAATGGAGGAGAAGGGATTGCGGCGTGACCATCCCCCCTGGAAGGTGATTTCTCACTTTCTGTCTCTGTCTCTCTCTCTCTGTCTGTCTGGCGAGCACACGTGCCCTATAGCGAAAAACCTCTCCAAAAAAAAAAAAAAAAAACTTCAAGTTTCATTTGTTATATTTTGAATACAATATTGACCAGGTAAAAAGAGGATTTTTTTATAGTGGACCACATTCAAAATCCCTAGAGGGAGTCCTCGGTAAGCGGAGCACTGTAAAATGACCTCCCTGGCTTGCCCTCCCGCCCAGGCAGCATTTTCTGCACATCGATCATGGGCCTGTGGCGGTCACACCATGGTAGGCATGTTTAACTTCGGCCAAGACGCAGTCACGTGCGGCATACTTGCTTGAGAGATCAGGTGCCCTGGAGTTCTTTGGAGTTCTTTACCCAGGACAAGCCTGATGATAACACCCTGATCGGAACGGCACCAAGAACACAGCGCCATCCATGCAGGACGACATCACGGGCCAGCAGTGGCATAGTAGTTAAGGCACTCAACTCCCACCTGGCTGACCATGGTTTGAGTCCTGGACCTGGTGAGCACATAGGCATGCATACACAGAATCCCAAGGAGAATGGAGAAGGGATTGTGGGGTGGCATTCCCCCGGGGGTGATTTCTCATTTTCCCTCTCCCTCTCTCCATGAAGCACATGTGCCCTATGGCAAAAAGACATCATAGAAACTTTTCTGGAAAGCCCCTGAAAGTTTCCTGACCTTTGTTTAAAATCCCTTTATGGGGGGCCAGCAGGTGGTGTGGTGGCTAAGGAGCTATACTCCCATGCGGCAACCATGGTTCGAGTACTGGCCTAGTGGCCTTCTTTCTCACTTTCCCTCTCTCTCTGTCTCTGCCTCTCTGGTGAGTACATGTGCCCTATAACAAATTAAAGAAAAAAAAATTGAAAAAGCAAAATCCCTACTTGGTGGCCAGCAGGCAGAGCAGTGGTTAAGGTGCTGGACTCCCACATGGCCCATTGGTTTGGGTCCCAGACCAGGTGGCTTGAAAATCATGCTGGTTGGGACCAGCAGATGGCATAATGGTTGTGTTGCTAAACTCCTGTGTAGTTGACTAGAGTTCAAGTCCCGGATTTGGTGGCCTGAAATACACTGGGTCCATGTGTGTGCGCCCAAAATCCTGAGAGGAGATTGGAGAAGGGACTGCAGCATGGCCATCCTCCTGGGGGGTGACTTCTCACTCTGTCTCTACAGCGAGTGCATATGCCCTACAGCAAAAATCTAAAATAATAATAATAATGCTGGGCATGTGTGCATGCGTGCTCCAAATCCCAGAATGGAGAATGGATTGCATAGCCATCCCCCAGGGGGTGATTTCTCACTTTCCCTCGGTCTCCCCATTGAGGGCATGCTCCCTATGGCAAAACCTGAAAAAAAAAAATTTGAAATAGGGGCCAGTGGGACCAGCAGATGCTGTAATGGTTACCTTGCTAGACTCCCACATAGTGGACCACAGTTCAAGTCCTGGACCCAGTGCTTGAACCTCAGGCCAGGCGCCCAGCATGAGTTTAAGCCACCGGGTCTGGGACTCGAACTGCAGTCGACTACATGGGAGTTCAACGACATAGCCATTACACTAACTGCTGGTCCCTGAACCACAATTTCAAGAAAGTTCTTCTGTGACACTACTGACGCTTCCTTAATAGGTTTCTGGATAGGAAATCTTTTCCCCAGGTAAACTAATTGCATCGTCATTAAACATACGTGAAGCGGCTGCCGACGTGGCGCAGTGGTAACAGGCCACAGGTGCTGCCGGGGCCGTACAGAAGACCGCGGTTCGGTTCTCTGGTTGGCCTGCATGTGCCTGGTGCTCGTGCACGAAATCTGGGCTGACTGGGAAGGCAGTGGGTGCGGGGGCTCGTGGCGTGGGACCCTGCTGAGACCCCACCTCCCAGTCCCACACCCCCATCTGTGTCTCTCTTGAAAGAAAGAAACTTTTAAAAAAATATGCAGCCCCAGCCCCCTGTGCGGTGGTAAGCCCTGTGCAGAGAGCGGGTCCCACACCGCAGACCCAGAGCAGGTGAGGTCTGGCCTCTGGAGGCTTCAGAAACACTCTGGGGACGGGTATGTGCGTGCCCCAGATCTTGGTGGTGAAGTGGAGGGAAAGGGTGGTACGACACCCGGGGGTGCCCTCGCTTGCTAGCGGCTTGGCCCTGTGGCCGGTGGAAACGTACAGAGATCCGTTCTCAGAAACGAAGCCGCAGCCCAGTGTACAGTGTTTATTACAGCAAAGGTTCCTACCGTAAAACAGTACTGATTTTGGTCCACGTTTTCATTTGTCTTTAAAACATTTTACATTATTTACAAAACAAATTGTAATTTTTATAGTACATAATTCTTTTTTAGCCCTGACCCTTGGAACAGTAGTTTCAAGTAACTAAAAAATAAAAATATAGCAACTAAATGTACTAAGTACATCATGGACACATTTAATTACCTCAGTAATTACAAAGTCCTTATCGTCACTGCTTGCGATGAAAATCCTGTAACACGAGGTCATTCCAGAATCTCCGGGATTTCTCTGTTATCCACAATGAGGGTATGAATAATCCCTTCTTTCCGCTTCCCACTGCTCACAGCCTTTATGTAACAGTCGTGGTCCCCAACACTGAAGTGAGTTTCCGTCCCGTCATCTACGAACTCCCCCTAGGCCGACGAAAGAGAAGGAATTAGCGTTCTGCAACAGTTCGAGTATTAAGACCGGCTAAAGGTCCTGGAGGTACCATGAAAATGTCAATAAAGCCTCTATCTGGATGTTTTACACCTCTGTTAAGAATTCAAAGTTTTGGGGCCAGCAGGTGCCGTGGTGGTTAAGGCGGCTGGACTCCCACATGGCTGACCATGGTTTGAGTCCCAGACCTGGCAGCTTGCTTTCTCATTTCCCTTCTCTTTCTGACTCTCTCTGGTCAACTTGCAAAGTAAAATAAAATGGGGGGGCTAGTAGCTGGTGTGGTGGTTAAGGTGCTGAACACTCCCACATGGTTGACACGGTTCAAGTCCCGGACCTGGTAGCTTGCTCTTCCACTTTCTCTCCCTCCCTCTCTGTCTCTCTGTGTGTATGTTTCTCTCTCGTCAAATTAAAAAAATAAGTGAATGAATAAAATTAAATAATTCTTTTTTAAAATGGCAATATATAAAATTAAGTAAAAATCGTTCTTTTTTAAAAAAATTATTTATTTTATTTATTCATTCATTTATTTTCATTTGACCAGAGAAAGATAGACACACAAAGAGAAGGAAAGTGAGAAAGCAAGTCGCCAGGTTCGGGACTGGAAACATGGTCGGCCATGTGGGAGTGTCCAGCACCTTAACCACCATGCCACCTGCGGGTCCCAAAATAATCCTTTAAAAAAAAAGAATTCAAAGTTTTTTTAAGACTCCTACAATCCTTAGTTTTACATTTCAAGGGGAGAAAAGCACCTATAGATATGCATCTGTAACATACACTATGTTTTTTTTTGGAGAGGTTTTCCCTATAGGGCGCGTGCGCTCGCCAGACAGACAGAGACATAGAGACAGAAAGTGAGAAATCACCCCCCAGGGGGGATGGCCATGCCGCAATCCCTTCTCCTCCATTCTCCTGGGATCTTGGGCACGTACACACACGCGTCCAGCGTGAGTTCTAAGCCACCACCAGGTCCGGGATGCGAACCGCAGTTGACTACATGGGAGTCCAGTGACATAGCCATAATGCTAACTGCTGGTTCCCACATACACTTATGTTTTCAAAACTAAAAATGGTATTTCTTGGGGGACCAGCAGGTGGCGTGGTGGCTAAAGCACTCGACACTCCCACATGGCTGACCATAGTTCAAGTCCTGGGACCTGGTACCTTGCTTTCTCACTTTCTCTCTCTGCTACTCTCTGGTCAAATTAAAATAAATAAGTGAATAAATAAAATTAAATAAGCAATTATTAAAAAAAAAAAAGAAATCAGAAAATAGGGACCAGCAGTTAGCGTAATGGCTATGTCACTGAACTCCCATGTAGTCAACCGCAGTTCATGTCCTGGACCCGGTGGCTTAAAACACACCAGGTGTGTGTGTGCGTACGTGCCCAAGATCCCAAGAGGAGAATGGAGGAGAAGGGATTGCGGCATGGCCATCCCTCCGGGGGGGAGGGGGGGTGATTTCTAGCTTTCTGTCTGGGCTCTGTCTGTCTGGCGAGTGCATGTGCCCTATAGCAAAAACCTCTCCCCCAAAAAGAAAAGAGAAATAATGGTATTTACTGGTTGCCTGCAGTACACCTAGAACAGTGTATATGGGTTACTTCATTGCATGCTCACAAGGCCCCTGACGGAGGTACTTTCACCCATATTTTATAGATGAGAAACTGAGGTGCACAGTGGTTAAATAACTTGAAGGCCCCAGGCGGTAGGGATGGAATGTTCATCTCTCTGAAAATCAGATTCCTCAGCATGGAGGTGGCTGACAATAAAGGTGACAACACAAAAGCAGACACCCCTTAACCTAGACCTGCGTCCCACACAGGAGCCACTGGCCACACGCGGTTGGTTATCAGGCACCGAGACGTGGGAAGCAGGCAACAAGATGGGCTCCGAAGTGTAAAATACACACTAGGATTGAAGAAGGAGGATGAAACAATGTAAAAAGACTTGCTAATAACTTTTCATATTGATTACATGTTAAACAGAGTATTTTTGATGCATTGGCTTAAATAAATATTATGAAAATTAATTTCACCTTGTCTTTATTTAATGCGACTACTTCACAAGTTAAAATTATGCACGATGGGGGCCGGCGAGTGGCATGGTGGTTAAGGATCCTGGACTCCCACATGGCTGACTGTGGTTCGAGTCCTGGACCTGGTGGCTTGCTTCTCTTTCTCTCCCCCCTCCCCCCGTCAAATTAATATAAATAAATAAATAAAGTTAAATAATTCTTTTTAAAAAATTACATATGAGGCTCATATTGTATTTCTTTTCTTTTCTTTTTAAAGAATTGTTTAGGGATCAGCAGGTGGCATAATGGTTAAGTTGCTGGACTCTCACACAGTTGACTACGGTTCAAGTCCTGGACCCAGCTACTTAAAACTCACACCAGGCATGTATGAGTGCCCCAAATCCCGAGGAGAATGAAGAAGGGATTGCAGTATGGCCATCCCTCTGGAGGTGATTTCTCACTTCTGTCTCTGTCTCTCCAGCAAGCGCACGTGCCATATTTAAGATCTCTCTCTCTTAAAAAAAAATTGTTTATTTAATTTTATTTACTATTCTTATTTTAAAGTTTGACCACAAAAGAGAGAGAGGGAAAGTGAGAAAGCAAGCCACCAAAGCTGGGACTCAAAGTCTGGCTAGCCATGTGGAAGTCCAGCACTTCAACCACCATGCCACCTGCCACCCCCCCATACTATTTTTTTTTTTTTTGAGAAGTTTTTGCTATACGACGTGTGCACATGGCAGAAAGCCAAAGAAAGAGAGACAGAAAGCAAGAAAGCACCCCTCAGGGGGATGGCCACGCCGCAATCCCTTCTCCTCCATTCTCCTCTCGAGATCTTGGGCACGCACACACATGCTCCCAGTGTGAGTTTAAGCCACCGGGTCTGGGACTCGAACCGCAGTCAACTACATGGGGGTCCAGCCACATAGCCATTATGCCAACTGCTGGTTCTCCCATACTGTATTTCTACAGAATGGCACTGAACTAGGGTAAAAAGTTTGGAGCCAAGTAGTAAAGGAAGAAAGGAGAGTGTGGGAGGCTGTGCACCAGCGAGTCCGAGAGGCCATTTTCATGAGTCTCTTCCTATTGC